GGGAATAGAAGACAAAGAGCAGTGGTGCGACTGTGTGTCAGTTTTGATCAGCATGCACTCCCTTCCTTTGAATTTCACAAATATGATGCTTTGTGTCCAATTTAATGGATTGTTGTTATCCCTGCATGTCACAGACGGCAAGATGTTGAAACTAACCTAAAGGGATTTAAAGTTACTGTCCCCATTTAGTTCCCCAGCTAAGCTAATTACAAGTGAACAGATTTCCAATTAAAAAGCTCCAACACAATTTAAAATGGGTTCAACCGATGAAAGAGTTGGTGAAAGCAGTCCTATATTCCTCTGATAGAGGTCCACTCTTTCTAAGAGTTAGGTGACAGTGTGTTGTTAATTAGTTGCTGCTTACACGTTCTTCAAACTCACCAATTCAGTGATAACAGCGCTGATTATTTTTTATTACTAACCAAAAGAAAAGAAGCTATATGAGATGATGGGAGATGTCATTCCCCATAAGACACTTTGCTTTTTCAGTAGCAGTGTGGGTAGGTAGACACAGACAGACAGACCCTTTGCATAGCACATAACTGTAAACACTGTAAGGTCAACTGCCTCTCTGTACTGCCTACGTAATAAGATTGTACAAGTGTATTATGTTTAAGTACTAGAGGGTTAAAAGCAAGTAAAACTTGTATAGGACTACTGGTCACAAGCTAATGAAAAGAATATATATATATATATATATATTAAAAAAAAACAGAACACAGAACAAAATGGGTGCCATAAAGATAGAGATTGACAGTTCGGTGTCACTTATTCAGATTATTGTAAATATATGATGCTAACATTTATTTTCTCACCTCAGTCCTGGATACGATATGTAAAGAGTATTTATGACAAAGATGATGGCCAAGAAAAACAGCCATATGCAGTTAGAGGTCTGCATGTAATTATTATGGTCAGTCTCCTATATCAGAGAGTATATGTCCTTTAAATCTAAACAAAGTTTTCAACAGGAGAAAACAAATTTTTAATCCAAAATACTAATTCTCCTTATTTTTATTTTTATTGAAAGTCTTTACGGTTTATTTCCAGCCTTGCCTGCTGCAGTGGATTGATTGACCGTGTCACCTAGTGTTGACAACATGTAAAATGCTACATGGACCTGACCTCCTCCTCCTCCATCCATAGCATGCTAAAAGGGGCTCAATCTGATCCGTATTTCTCTCAATAGATTAAATCGGTACTGTTCAGTATATGATTACATCGTAAGATATTGTGTGAATCCTGAAATTCCAGCTACAGAGTGTTGTAGCATGTAAATCTGCTTGTAAGCCCGACCTGAATTTGGTCTATAGATGACCAGATAAAGTCCCTATTTAAGCCTCCTTTTGTACTCAGACACTGTGCAACTGTATATAAGGAGAATTTGATATTCATCTGAATTTGCACCTTCATTCTTATTTTCTAAGATTATTTTTTGATATATTTCTGCTTTATTGGCTAGGATATAGTGGAGAGTGAAAGGACCGATATGAAAAGTAAACAGGGGATAAGACAGGACAAAGACCATGAGCCGGAGTCAGACGAATGAGTCCCAGGCCCCTAGCACAGCAGAACGCCCCTGCACCTTCATTCTTAACATGTGTGACAGCATGTGATTCTGTTTCCATTGAGCTGTGATGTGTAAAAATGTTTATATCTATTAAAGATATTTTGTTGAATTACACTTTGTCTCACAGAGTGGTCTTTGGCATTTGTGGCAGACACAATATGATTTAGACACACCATTAATATCAGCATCAGAAATACTTTTTCCTCTTTATGTTTTAGCTAGAAAAGTCATTTAAGTGCTATCTGAGGTGGCTATAAGAGTAAATGGATATCTGTCAGTGGCCTGGTAGGAGGTGGTTGCCTGCTGTTGTATTGTGATTAACAGAGAGCTGCTGTTTTTCCACTTAGGCATGATTACACAAGGCAGTCGCCCTGACAGAGACGAGCCTAGATCAGACAGATTGATGGATGAGTATAACCTGAGAGACGCCAGGGTGAAGACGTGGACCATTATGGATCCGAGAAATGAGTGTGATGTCTTTCAGAGTTATACTGCAATGTTGTTTTTGGATATTGGGTCAAAATTATATTAAAGGAGAAGCTCACATTTCTTTCACTCTGTCTTAAAATAGTACTCACATGGCCACATGTATGATGGTCTTGGCAGCTTGGATTGCTCCTCCTGACCATACTGGCCATGAAGAGATAGCTTTCTAATGTGATTCTAACTGAAGAGACGGGGAGCATATCTACAGTCCAAGTTCTGTACAAAAAGGCATTTGTTATGTTGAAGCTAATGAGGCTTCAAATTGAGTGGGTCTCACCAAAAATGTGACTCATTTTAGTACAAAATTCCCTCTCCTGTTTCCACAGTGGTTCCTTAGAGAGCTGCAGTGGACAGATAGTACTGTGACAAGTGCCTGTCTACAGCAATGGGGGTCGGCCCTATGTTCCCCAGACTTATATTGCACATAATGGGAACATGGCAAAGGATCCTATGTTCCCCAATTCTAGAGTTAAGGAAGTATTTCATATTTACCAGGTTTACCATCTCAGTTTAGCCTTGTTAGCATGCAAACCTTTGCTAGTTAAACACAAAGTTGAGCAGAGGTATTGCTTGTATTATTAGCTTTGGCTGAACAGAACTGTCCCCCATCCCACTGGCACTGACAATGCATCAGGAAGGGATTTCTACACTGCCAGTATATGAGAGAAGGAACAATTTGACATGCAATAGTAGGGTAAACACATGTTACCAATAATACTAATTAAGGTTCCATTCCATTCAGGTCAAGCAGAGTTATCCTGCTATTTCATTTCAAAATACATATGGGCATGTGAATATTGTTGGAAGATGGATTCAAAATATATATACCTATACCTATCCTTCAAATAATTTCTTTCAGTAAATGACTGTTTCCACTGTATCTCCATGTTGTCCAGATGCAGCCCCACTGTATGCATTTGTTCAGCTAATAAACACTCCCCTTTAATCACTTTACATGCAGACAGGATCTCTGTGGTGTCATGTGTGTGGACAGTACTGTTGCTCTCTGGCACTGGTGTGACTGACAGCCTGTTCAATAATTTACTATTAATACAGATTATAGCAGGGCCGGCCCCCTTAAAGCAGATTAGAGAAGTCCCTGTCTGTCTGCCTGTCTGTCTGCCTGTCACCTTATTAATGATGGCACTCCTTAATGCCAGAGCTGCTCATGGGACAGGAAGATATGCTGATTGCAGGTCACTGCAGTGTGGGTCGTGTGTTTGATGTAATCAGGGGGATGGGTGGTTATGTCATAATTCTGTATGGTAGATGTACAGATTTGTATTGTGATAGCAGAGCTCTTCTAATGTGGGGGATGGGGGAGATATAATATACAGTCCTGCTCTTTTCCTGCTGAAAAGTATTAGAGGAATGTGTGGGGTAAGCACCGTGGGCCGACGAACAGTTTCACACTCTAATGGGTGCGCCACTCACGTAGGTGTGTGACCTTGGTTTCCCTCGGTTACATTCAATAAGAACAGCAGTTTTGAGTTGTTTAAATTTTCTGACTTCATCTGCTTTCGCCGGAAGAACTATCTTAAACATACTGAACTTTTAATTATAAGAATTGGGCTTTTCATTTGTTTCGCTTGATGGAATGTTCATTCAAGGTCTTTTCTGTGTGTGAGGAATAGTTGAAGCACCTCAAATATTTTCAAGGACATTAAAGAGGAGGCTTCACAGAGCCAGGACCTCTGAAACAACTGAAATAGGGAAGAACACACAATGAAGAAAAGCAAGCAAGATCGTTCTTTGATAACTGGTGAACCGGTTCTGTCAACACAAACATCTGTAAGTGTGCGGCTGTGTGTCTGTGTGTGTTCACTCTCCATGCATGCATTCACAAATTGGCCATGCCATGTATTTCTGGAGTGTCTTCCTTGGGGGCTTTTGGGATCTCATTTATGGCAGGAAAAAAGGTTCATTCGTTCGGGTTGCCATTTAAGCTTCAATGATTCCAGAGTTTCCTTGAAGAGAGAGGGAAAGAGAAGAACATAGACATGCAAGAGTGGAGTAGCTGGAGACAGAAACAGAGTGCATGTTTGCCATCCTCAAGCACTAAATATGGAAATTAATGCGAGGAGATAAAAGCTTCGGAAATACAAATGTAAGTTGTGGAAATATGTCTAACTTTGGATCATAGCCTTCTTAAGGAAACAAGCAATGAGCAGCCTCTCACACATAAGCTTTGAATCGAAATTGAAAAGCTCAAAGAGTCTGGAATATATATTTATAGCCTTGCAACTGTGTGCGCTCAGTAACTTGTTTTTATATTAGCATTTCAATATCTTCCTAATGAAATGTTTCTCATTTTCAGCATCGGTGGGCGCTGCTGCTGCAGTGTGCATCTCTCTGTCCTCCTTTCCTCTTCACTGTGCATCCACTGCTCTCTCTCTCTCTCTCGCTCTCACACACACATACATAAACACTGCCTCGTGCAAACATTCACCCTCTCTCTCTGTCTTTTTCCTCCTTCTATTTTCCTCTTTATATTCTCTGTAATTCCTTCATCCCTCCCCCTTTTCCAAACTGATCTGCCCTCTATATTTTGCACAGCATCTCCCTGCCTCTCTCTCT